GGCGGGGTTGGGTGGCTATGGCTTAGAGGTTTGCGACAGATCTCGACTTGAAGAGGCGGAGAAGATGTCGAGTGGAATACAGTGAAGGAATTGGCAAGTAGTTGGATATTGTAGTCAAAGGCGGAAGAAGGAAGACGGGGAAGAAAGCAAGAGGAATCAGCGACGGGAGTTTGTATGGAAGAGGTGAAGAAGAACAGCCTGAAGTCTTCCTTTTGTTTGCCTTTTAATGACAAGAATGTCGTGCGACTTGAGCAGACCTCCATACGCATGTGACGGGACCATTCAGCGCCATTGCAAACTGTGGATAGGACTGTAGCAGCGGGATTCGACGCAGGATTCAAGCATGGGATGCTACAGGTAATCATTTTTAGCCATTATTTTTATCTTCTTTATTTTTTTTCTTTTGGCTGGTTGAGTAGAGGTTAACATCTAAATAGGTAGACAGTTACTACTTAGCAACCACGAGAAGCTACCAACTACAATCACAAACACCAACCATTACATTGAGATGTTTGACAGGCGTCTCTAAGAAAAACTCTCAATTCAACAAAGAACATTATGCGATGAGCAGTTCGATGATTCCCCTAAAAATGGAGCTAATACCTCCTCGTGGTGTCTTCAAGGAGAGAAGCACTAGAATCTGAAACTGATGATGAAATGCCAGCTTGGGATTTTAACAAGAAAAAGTTTTCTACAATCCAATCACATGCCACTATCACCAAACTCAAATTTAATATACCGGATTTCAATGGGCACATACACATTGAAGATTATCTTGACTGGCTTAAATTTATGGAAACTTTCTTTGAGCATATGGAAATACCTGAGGAAAAACAAGTCAACCTTGTGGCATACAAACTAACGGTTGGATTTCCGCTTGGTGGTAGTGACTACATACACAACAATGGCATCGTGAAGGCAAATGCTTGATTCACTCCTAGGCTTGAATGTTAAATTGTTGAGGGAGTGATTCCTACACATCGATGATGATCATATCATGTACAATCAATTAAGAGTGTCAATAAATGACCTTACACAACAACCCGATATAAACATGGCTCAAAAAATTCGGGTCAAATATTTTCATACATGTAATAAATCAGTCAAGTTCTGATCAAATATATTCAAGTCGGGTCAAAACACAACCCGACCTGCTAACCCAAATTGACACCCGTAAATATCAACATAGAGGATGCTTTGTTAGTGAGTATACTGAAGAATTTATTCACTCATTGCAAAAAAATGACGCCAGTTTCACATTACCTTAGTGTGGGCTCAAAGAATCCCTTTGTGATCAGTTGGCTCTTCAATATTTTGAAATGTGCTAAGCCAATAATCTAACCTACAAAGCAGAGAGCAGCTTGTCCCAATTTTCCAGCTAGTTTTCCTTCAATTGCAGAGTTCAGAATGATACCACATGTGACAATTAATAACTTCCCGCAAACCTACAAACTCCAGGACAAACAATTACTAGTTCAGTTGCTATTGTAAACACACTCCAGTAGCTGTAGAAATGCTGAGAAGGTTCCAGTCACCCTCATCAAGACCAATCAATAGGCTCAACTTGTGGTTGTCAGCTATTTTTTATGTAATTAGATGGGCCATAAGTTTAATGAATGACCTCAATGCAAAGCCTACACCTGGTAGGTTACGAAGATGATGAAGGTGGCTGTAATGTGATGAGAATATAGTTTCCAAATTCCAAAGCATTGGTACGTGCTCTAAACTTATCAATTGAAAATCATTCCGATCCCTACAAGATTGATCACTTCAAGAAAGATGTTGAGACTCACATGCTGCGATCTATTGGAAATTTTTTATCAAGATGAGGACCTTTACGATGTCGTGGATATGTATACTTGTTACATTATGCTCCATCGATCATGAATATATGACTTAAATGCCTTCCACAAGTGAAAAGAGAATAGTTATTCCTTCCCATGGCATGAGAAGAAAACCATTCACTGCCCCTCACACCTAAATCCTAACCATATAAAACACTTACACATATGATGAAATAAAAATAACATAGTGATGCTTCTGGTGTCCAAGGCACCTCAAATAGCTACATGAATAGCTCCGCCTGAGGTTAAAGGATGGCTAAGAAGAGTTCCTCAGCATGAAATCATCGGATGTTCCAAGTGAGTTACCACCCCTATGAAACATATAACACTGCATCAACGTCCATATTTGAATCTTCCCAATTTTTTGCATTAGCACATGAGTCCCAATGGGCATGAAACCTTACAAAGCATTGTTGATGAGCTACTGGCTAAAAAATTGATTCAAGTGTATGCCCATATGTTGTGCTAGTACTATAGGTTTTCCAAAAGAGGATGGAACCTAGTACATGTGTGTGGACAACCCAGTTATCAATAGGATCACAATAAGATATTGATTTCCTATTTCTTGCCTTCAGTATCTACTAGATAAAATGGAAAACTCATGCATTTCTTTTAAGCTAGAACTAAAAAGTGGTTACGAAGAAGTTCGTGTTAGGCAGAGAGTATAGTGGAAGGCAGCATTTAAGACTAGGAAAGACCTTTACAAATGGTGAGTAATGCTTTTCAGGTTCTGCAATGCACTTATTACTTTATGTGCCTAATGAATCAAGTGTTAAAGACTTTTGTTGGTAGATTTATCATGGTTTATTATGAAAATCCCTAGTTTAAATTAAAATAAGGGAAGAAATCGCACACATTTGTAAAAAAATTCAAAGCATTGGAGCACATAAGCTATTGTTTAATTTTTTTTAAACTATTGTTTAATTTGAAGAAGTGAGATTTCCTCACTAATTAAGCATCATTCTTAGGATTTGTTATTAGTATTCGTGGCATTCAAGCGGTGAGGTGAAGGTCTACAAGCATAATTTTGAGAATTAGATCGTATCGGTCAAACAAACCTGTCTTGGTTTCTTTGAATCGGCCAATTTAATTGTTGAAATATTAAATAATTAAATAAATAAATTTAATAAATTTAGCATGAAATAGTAAATAAATAAATAATCTTAATAAATTAATTTAGATTTAATATATTTTAATTTTGTATAATTACAAAATTCCTATAACAATCATTTCCCAAAGAAGCACCATCTAAGCATTCTAATATTACTCCACCACCCCATGTGAATTCTTAATACATGTAAACCGAAAAAAATATATAAACAATACTAAAAGAAAATTTTCAAGTAATGTGTGGAATAAATAACTAAGTTAACATATCAAGTTCTAAACATATCTATAAATAACAAAATTTTAAATTAATTTGTTATAATGTGACTAAAATAAATTTTTTAGTTAATAATATTTATTTAATTTATTAATTTAATTATACACCATAAAATTAATTTTTTTTATCTATTTATTAAAGATAGATGATCTAACATAAATGATATATAAATCCAAATTTTAATGTGAATTTGGTAATATAATCTATGGGAGTAAATTATATTTATACATATAATATTAATAATAATTTATATTAAATTATAAAATTATATGTGAATTAAATTTAAAGATCATAAGTTTTTAAATTTAAAATTACATAAGATATTATTTGTGTATAAAATTTAAATTATTGTATAATTATTATATCATTATTATGTCACTTAGGTCTTACAATATTTATTATGCTAACCAGTTCAACCTCGGTCGAACTATTGAACATTGAACCTCTCTTTCCGGCTCTATGTTAGGTCCGATTTTCACAATCGTATCTACAGTGTTCAAGAGTGTGTGACACCCACTATTATCTATGAGGCCTAAAGATTTCACAATTTTGCAAAATTTTACCAATGTTTTATACATGCTTTGAGTACTTCATTTGTTTCCATTACCATCTACCAGTTTCCTTAAAAAAGAAAAATTAACTTGAACACCATAACAAGATGCAAGCTTTGTTCTATTCAAAAACACTTAGCACAACTCTAATCCTAACTCTAATCCTTGCTCTTTCGATTTTTCCTTTGAGGTTGAGGCCAATGCATGCATGATGGGAATTGGAGCCTTTCTCAATCACGGAAGCCCACCCAAATAAATTTTATGGTGCAAAGCTCAATAAGACAGGACAAAAGTAGACACCATACAAACAAGAACTATATGCCATCTCATAAGCATTAGGAATAATATCTTATAAAATTGGAATTCATTCTACATAGCTGTCAAAAAAGTTATCTCGTGTGCATGCTTGATGGTTTATTTTCTTGAAGAAAGTCACATTTGTGTTTAAGCACTAAGTTGGACACATGAAACAAGCAGCATATGCTCGAGTAGGCGAGCCAACCTACTTGTTACATTATAGGCAGAATTAATGGGCTTTGAAGCTCTAAAGAATTTGTGTATTGATGATGCCAACTTAAATAATTGGACAAAATAAGTAGCAAATGCAAGCCAACAACTTCCACATCCATAACAAATTTTAATTCAAAGCAAATCAACTATGCAATACATCATTCAAGACCTACACTTACGCAGTCTAAAAACACATACTAGACTTGATAAAGCAATTGTAGCCATTGAAGATTGTTTCTATCGGCTTCAAATGCATTATTACTTCACTAACTTTGTTCAATGATGCAGAGTTTGCCAATCAGCCAAGGGACAAACCCAAAAAACCAGACTATATACCCTTTTGTTTGTGCCAATTAACATTTGGGAAGACAATAACATGAACTTTGGGTTGGGGTTGTCAATGAGGCAATGAAAGAAAGACTCAGTATTTGCCATTGTCAAAATTTCTAAAAAAATGACCCGTGTTATGCCATGCTTATATAAATTTTTTTTTAATCATATAAGCTTTATGCATGAGGCACATGTAGAGGCGAAATGTACATATTTAGCTTACGAAATGATTAATTCCTCGCATTAGACAAGAGAAATCGATAAGCTAATTGTGCAAATTGAGAGAATAAAATGTTTGATACCAAAAAAAAAAAGGAACGAACAACACAATTGGACAATCAATGCAAAATTGGAAATGGCAGAGGAGGAAAAGGAGCTTACGGCGATCTCTCCGGCGTTGAAGAAATTGACGACGGCGCTGGGTCGGGTGGTGACGAGGAGAGTAACGAACTGACTAACTGTGACGATGACCACGCAATATACGTTAAAAATCCTGTAACGATGACTTATGATCCGAAGCTCGCGGCGGATGCGCAAGTGGGCGCGGAGGATACAGGCGACGTTAGCACCGTCGCTAAAAGCCCCAGCAAAGTCCTCGAGCCTTAGGATCTGCAAATAGCACATCAGGCGAAATAGCACGCAGACGACGAAGAAGATGGCGGTTCTGTAGATCCACGACGCGAGCTCGAGGAAGGCGAAGACAGACTCGGCGAGGACGGCATTTCCCATGAAGAAGAGGCCGGGGGGCACGCGCTCTTCTCCCGAGAGGTACCACGCAAGCTTGTAGACGACCTCGCCTGCGAAACAGGGGAGGACGAAGACCGAGAGGATGCGGAAGGAGCGGTTGAGCTGATTGGTGTAGCCGAGGCGAACGCGTTCGCTCTCGAGGCGGAGCTTATCGAGAAAGAGGAAGCGACGGAGGCCGTGGCGGCGGACAAAGGTGGATAGGCTGAGGTATGAGAGGGCGGCAGAGCCGGATAGAGCTAGCTGGACGACGGAGTCGTAGGCGCGGCGAGAGGGGGAGTACGACATTATGAAATGGGATGCGAGGGGGACGGCGAAGCTGAAGATGAAAAAGACGAACCAGGATATGGCAGCGTGGAAGGAATCTGAGTGGTCGATGCAGAGCCAACGGAGACAAGAACGGAAGCTCTTCAGCTCGTCAGCGGCATGCGAGAAGGAACGCTGATACGAGCTCTTGCGCGGCAAAAGGGATTCCCGCTCGTCGCCGCACCCGCTAAAGGCTATGCCGTCGGCCATTGCCGGCGGGATACGTGTGAAAAGGACTCGGCTTTCTTTCCCAGCGGCAGTGTAGGTCGGGAACAGGATGAAGAAGGGAAGGAATCGGAAGCGGTTAGGAGCCGTTGGAAAATAGGGAAGGGAATTGGGCTCTCGCCGTTCCGTTCCCTTCCAGCTGAAATATACAGGGGAGAGAATTGGTTGGGGAAAGCACAGATATCTTTGGCCGCTTCCCTTTTTTATGGTGATTGATCGAGCGATTCGAAAATAACGCTAACTTTGGAACTCGACCATCATCAACTGGTATGATTCATTTTGAAATTGACTACACCATCCTAGCAACGTTCCTAGCCCAATTCAACATTGATATTTGAACCAAAATATAAGAGATTGAATTCAGGTCAACATGGCAGGATAGAAATAGGATTAACAAGTTTTATTTCAATGAGGAATAATTTGAAATTTTTTCTGTATAAGAAAATGTGATGATCGTTTTGTGAAAATTGTATTATGTAAGAGCATTTGAATCTCGAATTTATTATCGAGTATGTCATTACTAGATTTTAAAAAAATTATTTTTATTCTATAAAACTATTTGGTTGTAATACAAAATGGTGAGAAGTATTTTAAATACAAGGGTTTTGAAAATTTTGGAGTTTCGTTGGAATACAAAGTGGAGAAATGTAAAGTAAATATAGTGTAATCATCATAGTTTATTTTTGAAGTAAATCAAACTCGCCCAATTTTAAATTAGAACAGTTTATACCACAAGTAAGCTCGCTTGACTGTCACCTGCCACCTCCGCCATATGTTGTCCACCACTGGATGTCGTAGATACCCACAGTCGGCAACCACCACTGCCACCTACACTAACACCACCATCGTTGGAGGCCGCCACCACCTGTAGTCGGCCGCTACCACCACCGGCCACCTCCATGGCCGTAGGCCACCACAATCCGCAAGGCCACCATAACTGCCACCATCACGACTATCACCACCCAACCACCGAACACCACCGCCGCCGGCAGCCTCCACCGTCAGCCACCACCTGCTGCCGCCCACCAACACCATCGTCAACCACCACAGTCAATATAATAGTCCAAACTCTTAACTATCGAAATATTATCTACTTTGAACTAAGAGCCTCACGATTTTGTCCTATTGGTGTAACTTCCGAGTAGTCACCCATCCTAGAATTGCTCTATGATGAGTACGCTTAACTGCAGAGATTCTTATGGAAATTCCAGCCACTACACAAAAGGTGCATCGATGTTTAAGAGTTAGCTTTCTCTTACTTAAGGGGTTTCCTCCCCCAATTAAGTAACTGACATCCTCGTTAGCATCTAAATCCTAAAATTAGCCACCATGAAGATAGGACTCTAGAGGTGGTCCCTACAAGTTCTTATGGTGGATCTTTCATATAACATTTTGTCCCATATATGATTCAAGAGGTGGCTCCCATGGCATAGCACTTTGTCTTGTATGACACTTAGCTCCTATCTTCCGACTAGTGTATTGCTTTAATACCATTTGTAACAACCCAAATTCTTAACTATCGAGATATTATCTGCTTTTGCCTAAAAGTCTCACAGTTCTGTCATATTGGTGTAACTTCCATGTAGGTCACTCATCTCAGAATTGCCCTGAAATGAGCACACTTAACGGTTGAGTTTCTTATGAAAATTCCAGCCATTACGACAAAAGGAGCCTTGATATTTAAGAGTTAGCTTTCTTTTACTTAAGGGGTTTCACATCTGTAGGTCGCAATCGCCGCCCACCACAACCGTCCAGTGCTGCCACCTGCCTCTGACCACCACAACTACCTCTGCCTCCCTCACCAACTACCACCATTTTTTGACGTTACACTACATTCATTATTTCAAATAAAAAAGAATTCATTCACTTGAATTTACTTTACATTCTTCCAAATAACTCCAAAGTATGTCTTATACACTCATTTCTTTTACACTATATTTTTTTTACATTGCATTCCTTTTTTGGCCAACCAAATAGTCCAAATATAAATTTGTGAAAAACATTTACTAGCTAAAATTATTTTTAAAAGGAAATCCTTTCACCTTTTTATTGTGACATAACATTTATTTAGTGGCTAGACCTCACCCTAACCTTGATGCTTTACATTAGATTAGGACTTATGCTAGCCAATTGAAGGGTTTGTTCGATTATATTTGAGTTGAACTAAAATTTAGTTCAGCTGTAATCAAAATGATAACATTGGGCTAACTTGGTTTTATTGATTCAATTGGGATAGGTCAATGGGTCAATTGACTATATTTGCATGTAATTGATCAAGTGTGGTCTATTAAAGAAGCTGGGTTAATCCATTTTAGCCAATTTAGTCAACTGATTAAATTAGCCAAAATGGTCTTAAGATTCTATTTTTAATAGTCAATGTGCATTTGGGCTAATCCATTGGTCATTTATGCTTACTTAAGATGTTTTGAACTCATTTAAAGGATTTAATTCAATTAATTTGATGGAATTGAATGATTAAGCTCAAATGGGCTAAGTAGGTCCATATGATTTCGATTGGCTAAGTTCTGTCCATTGGATACAATTGGTTCAACTAATAGTCAATTGAGCTCAAAGAGTTTGTTAAAAAATAATTTGATCAATTTAATAAATTTTATCGAATGGATCACATTAGGTCAAGTTAGGCTAACTTGACCAATTAGCAAAGTTAAATGGCTGACTAGTTAACATTGAATAAAAATTTTCAATTTAATCAATTTAGCTAATTTGAATATATGTTCTATTAGGCTAAATTGAACTATTTTGACTAACTTGATCAAATGCTTTTTGGGCTCAACTAGGTCATGTCTAACATATTAAGATCATTGGCCAAGGTCAATTTCACCATATCTAAGGTTTAGGCCTTTTCGCCTAATTAAGTTTAATTGAGCTAATTAGATTTCAAAGTGGTTAGCCTAGTTTAAAGGCAAACTAGGGTTAAAACATCTATGGTTTATCAAGAAGTACTCTATAGAAGATGTTAGGTTAGTTAATTGGATCAATTAGTTCAAAATGATCTATTATGTCAAGGAGTATAGGGGATTTAGGGTCTAGGCAGCAATATATGAGTTAAGTCTAAGACCACAATCTCAATCTAGGGATCCAATGATCAATTATAATCAACTACAATGCAATTGAATGATTAAGAGGTTATGATTGAGTGCTTATACCATCAAATGATCCACAAATACTAATTAGAATTAAGGCACAATTAGGGTTACCATAGAGCTAGCTTTGTTCAATCCGAAATAAAAATAGAGGATTAAGATTAAGATTTGAAAGACTTAAGTTTTTCTCCTATCGGTTGATGGGCTTCTATGATCATTCTTGAGTTGGTCTTAATTAGCACGGCCTATGAGCTGAATCAAGATTATAAATAAGATAAGAATGGTATCTACCTAAGAATGAATTAAAGAGTGGAATCAAACTCATCAAATTATTTGGTGAAGACTAACTTTAATTTAATCAATCACATCATGAAACAAAGTAAAAGGCTTCTTGTATCATTTCTAGAATATATGCAATAGAATCAAGTAAAGGGTACTAGACTTAGTTACTTGCATGTTGCTTGGACTAAAATTGCTAGACTCAGTCAAGAGAATTAAAAACATCTTAAACAAGATAGACCTTAGTAACAACAAAAGACTCTCAGCAACTATGGTATATTGATCGAATATGCAATGGATGTTGGAGATAAGTTAATAATCTTGCTGCCTAAAAGTTCTTAGTTTTGATATTTGAACTTGACATACATGTTCAAATTTAGGAAACCTTGCCTTTGAACGTGATGAAACAATGCAAAGCGATTCTTATTATAGATAAGCTTAATAATCAACTCGAGATTTTCAGCTCTTTATAAGGGTCCAACAACTCATGCCAGTAGGAATGAATTATTAAAGTAATTAAAATTGATTATTAAACTCCCTAACCTAACTCTGGAGGTGTATTAAACCAAAGAATCTTTTAATTTAATAGTAATTCAAAATATTTATTATGCAATCAATACACTTATTATTGAGAATAGGTAACCATTGGAAGGAGTAACTCATATAGCCTATTTCATCAAAAGATGAACTGCGTAGGTCCCTGAACTATTTATTCCTGCATTTTAAGCCTAAAAGATGAGGGATTTTTAAATTTGGCTCGACTTTATTAATGTTGAAATTCACATGGTTATTATTATTTTGCCCTTATTAGACTTAATAAAAAAGTCCTCAAACCCAAAAGGTAGTGGAAGAATCCTTAGCATGCATACCTGCACCAATATATAAATAAATGGCTAAACTCATTATGCAAGCTGACAAATTTGATAAATCAGATATAAAATAGGTAGCTAATAGGTATAAATTACATATTATTTTATCTATTTTATTTTCAATGAAACTGTATTGTTTTAGTTATTTCTGAGTAAGAAAAAATTAAAAAATAGTAGAAATTTCTAAAAAGACTACAACACCGTGGCGTATGACGAAACAACACGGCGGCGTCACATTCAATACCACTGAGGAATCACAAATTGGGCATTGCAATACCAAGTTCTCTGTTTGCAAGCGTTGCACGATAATACATCCACCACCGTAGAATTAATAGTGTCGTTGGGTCAAAAAGTCAGCTTAGCAGCGCCAAATTTTATACTTTTAAATGCCACAGTGATGAGGTTGTTAAAACTGAAATTTTTAAAAACAGAATTTTTACCTACAACATTCAAGAATTTATGTGTCATTATAAGCTCAAATTATAAATCTTTTTCTCCACAACATCTTTATTATTATGTTTAAGTTTTTCTAATTTTTTCAAAATTTTTGGGCACTGGTAAATTCCTTAAGAAACTGGCACCTGATAGTACAATGAGGGTTTTGGACCACCACGCATCCGTTTTGTAAATTGATTTTCATAAAAATTTTCTAAATAAAATAAGTTATTTTATGGATATTTTGTCTACAGTTTTTGAAGCTCAATAAGTATTTACAAGAATTTTATATTGAAAAATGATTATAATATTTTTATATTATCTTAAAAAATATATCTTAAGTCACTTAAGTTAAAGTCATTTAAAATCCCTTAAACCTCATGTCAAGCATTTTTTTTCCAAACCAGTGAAACGGGAGAGAAGGTTTTGGGAGAAATAAGGGAAAAGAAAGGAGAGAGAAAAAGGAAGCTAGTTTTTGACAGCCGAAGAGCAATTTTC